AGTATCGTGAGAGAGTTAGGCTAATAACCGAGTCGATCACACCTATCGTCGAGAGCAAGGCCGTGGCGAAGCCGTGATCGAGACAAGTCGAGGGAACACAACACCCGATCTGTCATCAAAGGCGCGCGACGCCTAGCAGCACAAGGAGTAGGCAACGTGCAAATCGGCGAGCGCGGAGGCGGCGTGCGTGAGGTGGTAGAAGACATGAGGCGTGTGACTTGAGCTTCTAGAAGTTCTTGGAGTGCAAGACAAGTAATTAGGAGATCTAGTAGATTTAGGATTTTATGGTAGTAGGATATTTACTTGCCTTAGGATTTAATATTTTATTGATTTATTCGTTCCCTAGTAAGATTAGAATTAGTCATAGTTAGGATCTATAAATAGGGATGATCCCTCATTGTTTTAAGAGTCCAAAATTGATGAGTTGAATAGAAAAGAACGTTTGTTCGAAACCGTGTGTTAGGATACGTAAGAGTTCGATCATGTAACCGAATGGGTGAGGCTAAGACCCAAGCCAGTTCAACCGAGTTAGAGAGGCTAAGACCCGATCTAGTTCAAAAGAGTGTAGCGAGGCTAAGACCCGAGTGAACTCAAGTATCGTGAGAGAGTTAAGCTAATAACCGAGTCGATCACACTTGTCGTCGAGAGCAAGGCCGTGGCGAAGCCGTGATCGAGACAAGTCGAGGGAACGCAACAGACGATCCGTCATCAAGTAGCGTGCGCGCGCGCAGGGCAGCAGTGATGCGGAAGTGGCTAGGCAGCTCAAGAACGCTGCGAGTCGGGCATATCACGCACGCAAAAGGTTAGCCCGAGAGACGGCGGAAGTGCGCGCACTGGAGTGTAGTGCGCGTAGGGCGAGCGAAGAAAGACCGCATGAGGATGTGCGAGTGATGTACGCGGATGGCTTGCGTGGGCAGAACGCGTGTAGCGCGGGGGAGACGGGCGCACGCGAGGAAGGGTCGGGCGAACGAGACTAACGCGCAGCAGATGAAGCCCCAATCCACGAGGAGTGCGGACTGGTGGGGCGCGACGCGCGCGAGAAAGCGGCTGGCAGCAATGCCGTGCGCAACACGACAGATGAAGGCGCACGCGCAAGATGCGAGGCCTCAGCCCTAGAGGAGTGCGGAGAGAAGGGCGACCACGCGCATAGGGTCGGCGCAGGAGGAGATGGCGTGCGCCGCACGCCGGGCGCCACTACACGCGCGCGCTAAATCGGCGCGCCCTAGTGCCGCAAGGACTAGGCGACGTGGGTGGTTGGGCGTGGGATAAGGCGACCGAGAGAGATAGAAAGAGATCCCTTGGTGTGCAAGCCAAGTTATTTAGTTCTCTTATTACATTATGAGATCTAGGTTAATTAGGATACTTAATATTTTATTGCTTTATTAGTTCCCTAGTTAGATTAGGCTTAGACGTATTTTTGTGCCTATATAAAGGCCTCATCCATATGTTATTTTTCATCATTCAAGAATTAATAGAAATCCAGAACTTTGTTCTTCTACTTTGCTTTAGTCTTTCACCAAAATACTATTGCAATTTTATTCGTTTC